TTCTTCTGATTTTTGAAACCATTTAATTACATTGGTTTACGTCAACCAAATCAAAAACTAATGATTAAACAAATTTAAACAAATTGAGGTCTTTTATTGGTATTTTTTTCAAACTTCTGCGTTGAGCCGTTTTCGAGATCTGGGAAATCCCAAAACGTTACCGCAGCAAAATCTTAAATAACTAAAGAACTATACCACACACAAATTTTGCTATTTATAAACATTTACTACTCAACAAAAGCTATCTATTCATGTATTTGGTTCCGTGCTGAAACTAATTTTTGAAAGACTATTTTGCCTGGGTAACGTTTCAAACGTTACTCCAGCAAAATTTGTTTTTCTTAAATAACTTAAAAACTACAATTCAAACAAATTTTGCTATTAGTAAACAAATTGCTCCTCATGATACACTAATTATTTGTTTAAGTCTCGTCTCTCTAAAGCAAAACATTTTGCCTGGGTAACGCACACGAGTGATACCACGGCCTCACAGAAAACCGACGTGAAGCAACGCTTGCATTGTGTTTCGTCGTTCGAGTGAGGTTACCTGAGGCCGAATTACCCATTCCTTTCCCTATCTCCCCAATCCCTGAATCCTCAACGATCCTCAAACTCCTAATCCCCAAAAGGCCGGTAACGCACTTGTAACGCCTCTGGTGTTCCAGCGACGCCCATTGCTTACCATCAAGTGATCCGTCTGCTCTTTTACCGGCTTATGCAATAAAAAAAATACCATCTTCCGTTGGACATAGACCTTTCTAATGTGCTGGCATTGGTACATCAAACACCATAACCTAAGAAACATAACATAACATAACATCACGCCTTTTTATCCCCGAAGGGGTACGCCATACGAGCTGATAGGGGAAGACATGAAGACTTACAAGTGGCTGCGCAGGTGTAGTCGGTTTGTGAGTGGCACATGGAGATAACCAGCTTCGCTATAGCTGCCAGCTCGCTGTCCCATGACTGCAAGGATACCCAGAAAGGAAGGACAAAGTCAAAGTCAAAGTTATTTATTGCAAATTGCAAACATAGGTAATGAGTACATAATACAGGATAAAGCATACATTATACAACATAACATCACGCCTTTTATCCCCGAAGGGGTAGGCAGAGGTGCACATTATGCCACTGTACAATGTAACACCCCCTTTTCACTATTTATGTTGTGAGTCCCATGTAATAGGGGGTGAGCCTATTGCCATATACCGGGCACAATTCCAGACTCCGTGCTACTACTGAAAATTTTGTAAAAACCCAGTAATACTTTGCCCGACCCGGGAATCGAACCCGAGACCCCTTGCCCGGCAATCGCACTTGCGACCACTCGGCCAATGAGGCAGTCAGAAGCATACATTATAATAGTGCGCAATGTTTCGCCTGTCGGCGGCATGCAATTAAGAAAATGTCAGATTCAATTTTATTAGTGAGAATAACAATAATAACAATTATGCAATAATAATAATAAACATGTAAATAATATGATAAAATAAATGGACTAAATGATAGCAAATGATAACAACTATACCCAGGATATACATAAGAGTGCGTCTAGTGCGTCCAGCTAGGCTGTAACTTTCAATTCGAAAGATGGAATCGAACTCGATCGCGGGCCGTCGTGCCATTGGTTATGAAAATAATCTCGACCAATAGGTATAGGCGAGAATGTGCTCACTTCGAAAGTTCAAATTGGTAGTTAAAAGAATAGCTTAGCAGATCTGGAGAATTTTGCTTACAAGATTCGGGCCACAAAACTATAGAACACATTTACTAACAAATAAATTAGGTAAGACATGAACTGGCAATTTTTATTTATTTATTTATAATTTCATGTACCTACACCACACAGATAATATTACAAATGACGACACATTACAAGCATTAGATACATTTTAACTTGGTTATTAAGAATTAAATACAGATTTTATTTTGGAAATTAATTTAATTTTCCTACTTACAACTCTCATCATTCCGTATCCTGTAGGTAAGTATCCGTCCTCACCTTCAGCTTTCCCGTTAGCTACTTCACTTCTCACTCTGTAACATACCTGAGGGCTTAGTTTAGTTTATAGTTTAGTAACGAGTTTGTTTTTTTTGTTAAAAGTAATCGAATTATCGAAAGTGTGAAATTTCGTACTCTTGAGTTTCAACACTAGCGCCCATTGCATCCGTATTGCGTGGATATTGAATGAACTAAATGATATTTTGTTTGGCTTTATATTTCGTACTCTTAATATATGCTTGATAATGCTATTTCAACAGTAACTGTATGATAGGGGTTGTATAGTTTTGACGTTGAATAATTATTGAGATTTTATTGGATTGAAATTGCATTAACATTGACATTGGTTTCAAGAGTAACCACCCTGATGAGGTAGGTTACCATTTTTAGCAACTACTCCCGTCAGGCCACTATCAAAAGACACTTAGCTTCTGGCGTAGTCTTCTCACCTCAGTAAATCCACCTGATGGTCAGCACCTATACGGGGCAATGGCTCCACAGAATAGACTACGCCGCACTATAACACGTTTAATTTTGTAAAAAATATAACTTCCTTATTCTCCGCGGTTGGTCTCCTAAGAGGACCCGGTGCCTCCTTCAAGTGCGGATGTTGGCCACCGGGGAGGTTTGTGAGGTTGAGGTGAGGTGAGGTTAGTGAGGTAAATATCCCACACTCCCTAGTCTATACCCAAAAAGCTTAGCCCCGTTTTGAAGGTTTCCCCCATCAACAACAAAAAAGGTACTTACTTATTAATCCGAGAAACTATTTCGTTAGCCATGCTCTCAGTAATATCGTAATATCTGTAAAGACGGCAGTCGCCCTTGTGGTCCTGGTAACAAGAATACCTATTAAGACAGGGTTTTGAAAAGAAATAGAACCAACACGTTTAACTGGGGCACGCTGTGAGCCTAGCTACTGCGCTGTTGGTTACCGGAGGCCCAATTACCTCCCTCCCCAACCTCCAACAATCCTCAAATTCCTAATCCCCAAAAGGCAACGCAGTTGTTACGGATTTGGTGTATCGGGTATGGACATAGGCGGCACCGATTGCTTACCATCATATGATCCGTCTGCTCGTGCGTCCCCATAAAAAAATAAAAAGTGTGGATTTAGTAGAAGAAGAATAGTGCTAACTGATACTTATTCGTCATCATCATCAGATAGGTACCTACAAGATGTCTACGAGTTTTACGACTGAACATAAGGCGTCCCCAATGTTTTCTAGCTAGACTCTTGAAGTGAGTTCGATCGCATTCTCGGTCGTCATTGGTCGAGATTACACAACCAATGACATGGCGAACCGCGATCGAGGTTACTTCGATCTATGGAATTGTGTATAAATTGTTCAATACAATAAAATATTAAAAAATAATCACACTTTCATTAATTGATTTTATGACCAACTTAATTTTAGTATTTTTCCAGCAAATTTTTAAGACACAAGTATCCTGTTTGACGTGACGTCACAATTTACAATCTCGTACAAAATTCATAGAAATCTGTCGTTCTTACAGTTCGAAAAAAGTAATGAATTTGACTAGTTTGCAAGTACCTAATTCGAACTCTTAAAGTGAACTGAATCGCATTCTCGGCCGTCATTGGTCGACATTATTCTCGGATTTATTAGTCGAGATTATACATCCAATGATAAGGCGGACCGCGTTCAAGTTCACTTAGATCTTTGGAATTGTAGTTTCAGAACAGCCTAGCATATGTATATTGCCTTTTAGAAAGTAAAACAGGTACTTAAGTAGGTACTTACTTACGTGGTATTTGCATACGACATGGGGTGCTCGCTCCATGGACTCTGAGCACAATTTCCTTGCGTTTTCACAGTAGTAGCTTGCGTCCAGCTCCTCAAATACTTTCATGCTGGTTACCAGCGGTGCTTTTATAGTTAGAGCAGTAAGGAGTAATGTAAAGATGTTGTTTATTAAAGCCTGAAACGTATTGTTGTGGCAGCGTACATATAATATAATTAGTAGGTAATTAACTGTCTCATTGGCAGAGTGATCGCACGTGCGATTGCTGGTCAAGGGGTCTCGGGTCCGATTCCCCGGGCAAAGAATTACTGTGCTGGAAGAATTAAATTACTAGACCACCACGATGCTTCTAATTAAAACCGTAAAGATAATTATAGTCACTCTCAAGCTTTTCAGGAGTTTCAGGATCACTAAACGTAGTGTTATGCAAGATTGTATTATATAACAAAATAGCAAAAACAAATATTAAAACTAGAAACTTACGATACAAATCATGACTAGAGTTAGTTATAGCTGTAGCAAAAAACTACAATAAATAACTACAACGTAGGTATATGCTCCATAACATATTTTATTGTTCCAATTTATTTGTTCGATAATCGTAAATATGTATTATGTGATGCATTTGGTTTTAGGATTCCGTACCTACGAAAAACCGACTTCAAAAACAAACGAAAAGTAAAAACTAAAAAGCAAAAAATAACTGTTATTGGTCATACGTAGGTACTTACATATAGCTTACACACCCACTGATAGGTGAGAAGTCGGTGCCACAAGTTTTACACAAATTTATTCATTAAAACCTTAATAGATAGGTACCTAACGTTATTAAGCTGTTTACAATTTTATTGTGGAGTACACCTGCGACCATTACCTAAGATATATTTTGTTATGGGTTTGTGGCACCGACTTCTAACCTATCAGTGGGTGTGTAACAGTCGAATTGAGAACCTCCTCCCTGTTTTGAAGTCGGTTGAAAATACAGGACGTCCAATAACTTCAACTAAAGAGTTGTAAGAAAAGCTATAAATTTTCTAGATACCATAGTCTTAATGCCTCTATGAGTTTATAATTATTGAACCACTGTTAGTCTGTATTTCCTGAAGGGTAACCTGGGAGTCTTCAAGGCCCGAGTGAATAGGTTGCTTATAGGACGACGTGCTCCATCGTAGGCCTCAGGCATCAACGCTTACCACCAGGTGAGATAATGGACAAACGTCGGCCCATCAAATATAAAAAAAAATCACCGATTGACAAATTCCGATTGTATTTTGTGTTATAAAGCTTTACTATTTTTTAAAAGACGCGTGAAAAGGACAGACGAGTCAATGAAACAAGTTAAATAAAATTATAATTCGTTTAATATTTCATTATTAAAATATTGTATTCATAACAAAATAAATTAACTACTTTGTAGGCTCAAAATAACACAGATTTGTGCACTAACGTCTGCACGTAAAACTACCCCAATTAACTAAATTTTTCATTCGATTTTGAACTTTATTTCTGAAACATAAAGCCGAACATTTAATAAAAATATTGGGGTAACTTTATGCATTAACGTTTCTACAATATATTTTACTGTACTTCTATTTATTTGGTTTGGAACAGTGGCTTTTTAGCCTCGTAGAAAGATGGAGAAAAATCCAAGAATTTAGATAAAAGATGAAATGTAAAGGACACAGCTTACTTCTTACGAGTAATATGTTATTATATATAGGTATATTATCTTGGCTTCATTATAATATAATATTTTTGTTCAATTTAAGACATTAGATGCCACAGACTACAATATTTTTAAGGCATTATGCCTTAGTAAAGCAACGTAGATATAGATAAATCAATTTGAAGATATTTTTTGTAAATAAATAAATAATAGATGAATTGTAATATAATGTTTGATAAAAGAGCTACAAAGCGAAAATTACTTATCAAGATAAACGAACCATTATTATCGTTTTGTTTTTATAAAATAAGTTTAAGTTAACATATTGTTTTATGATTGAAATTGTATTTTTAAACCATTATGTACCTATTGACTTGTAAAATAACAAGGGTGAAAGAGATAATACCGTCCTAAGATCATCTCAATAGAGTGTCATCTCTTTCACTCTGCATTAATTAAAGACGAGGATAGATAATGTATCTATCTCCGTTTTATGTGAATTATTTATTTATTTGTTATTCAGCTATAGCACATTTCATTTGATTGTTAGAATGTCTTTTATATTTAAATATTAGGTCTTATTATTATTACTTCTCCGCTGAAATAGTGTAAAATCGAAAAACGTAGTTGTTTGTTATAAAAATGGTACAGACAGAGGAATAAATTCAGTAAAATCAGGAATAAATTCTTCTAGAACATTACGAAAACAGTCTAAAATTTTTAAAGTAATTTTCAAAGATGGCTTGTGACACTATTCGAGCGACTCGCAAGTAAATTGTACTTACAATAGTATTAAAACATTTATCTAAGTACCTAAATACATTTGAAATACATTACTAGTAACCTTGGCTATATGATTATACAAAATGACTACCATTTTGAATACACAGGCTCACCACAGAGTAACAAAACGCTTGGAAGACTTGAGCAAAGTTTCTAGTATTTGCGCTGTAACAAAACTTTGCGCAAGTCTTTTGCGCAACCGTTTATGATATTTGCGCAACCTTGTACTATACAAATATGTAAAGGATATAATTTGCGCAAGTACTTTTTATGTAGTACTTTAATATATTCTGATTTATATCTCAAAAACAACCGTAATAACAAAATAATAAGATACAAAATTCTTCTTACCTTGTTACTTGCGCATAAAAGGAAGATGAACTATGTACCTTAGTTTCTTACAAATACGGTTCATTTTAGCTCTGTGGTTGGCTAATTATACTAGTTAGAGGCAATTGAGGCAGTGTGATCAGGTCCTGGTGACGTGTCTCCGGTGGAAGATGTCTAGAGCCTCCCATTGCTTCGTGTGGAGTAGGATGTGAGGTCTTCGTATCCGCATGTAGTTAACTGCCTCCGCAGGTGACCAGCCGTTTTTCTGGAAAAATTGATATTTCGTTAGAAAGAAAACATTTTCACGTTAGTTCAGTTACAGTCGGTTAGAAAGCGAAGGTTTTCGAAGATTCTAATCTATTGATTTGGTACATGCGTTTGAGACAGAGACTCCGAAATAAGGCTGCTCTCATAAAGAAATAGGTCCTTGCGTGTAGACAAATTGGCGCAGGTATAATATTTTAACGCGTCGAGTACCGTCATTATAGACACAATTAAAGAACAATAGGTTGCGGTCACCGGTGCGGTGGCTGTGCAACTGGCTGCCGTGCAACGTGTCGCGGGTTCAATTCCCGTACGAGACAACACTTTGTGTGATCCACAAATTGATGTCTCGGGTTTGGGTGTCATTGTGTATGTGAACTTGTATGTTTGTAAATGCACCCACGACATAGGAGAAAATCCTAGTGTGGGGCAACGTTATTTAAAAAAAGATTATAGTTACCATACCATCATAAGGTAGCAGCCCACGAGCGTGGCACTGCGCGTGCGGCCCGCCTTGCAGTGCACGTACACCGAGCCACTGTTCACCTGCTCACACTCCGTCGGCACGCCCGACAACTTGCAGTCCGCCGGTAGAAACCTGGGCCATAGAACACGAATAATGATAATAATAATTCTTTTATCAACTATGTTAAAAAAAACGGATTCAACACAAACGTATAATTTTGTATACTAAGACGTTCTCCCAAGTGCATCAAACCTTTTCTGAAAACCACATCAAAATCGGTTCAGCTAATCGTGAGAAATTCGCGCCCAAACATACACACATACATACAGGTAAAATTCAGAACCTCGCTTATGTTAGAAGTCGGTTAAAAAATGAGTAAAATGTCAACAATGTGACAAGAATTTTAGAACAAAAAAAAATATAATAATAACTACTTAACTGTCGACAACAAGTAACAACAAGCATAAATTTCGACTAGGTCTTGAACGAAGATAAGATTAATAGACAATCGAAAATCAAGATCGTATTTCGTGATGGTAAGCCAGGCCAAGGGTCACGGAATGAAAGGGAAACCAGTCGAAATGAAGATTTATAAGTCGCAGTTTAAACTGTCAAACACCAAGCGGTCACCGGTGACCGCAACCTATTGTTCTATAATTGTGTCTACAAAACCGGTACTTGACGAGTTAAATCAGCTGTCTGGTCTGTCGTAGTACCTAAGCTGGTTTTTACAAGACACTCGTATAATGGGTTGTATTCCGCGAAAATATTCAAAATGATGCCCACGGCCACTTTTTATCATCGCGCCACTCACCATGGACAGGGAATTCACGCTCACACATTGGAGTCGGTCCTGTACAGTTCGGTATCAGAGGAATTTCCTCCTACGGATCCCCTGATTGTGGAATGATCTCCCTGCCAAGGTTTTCCCGGTGGGCTACAATATGGAGTTCTTCAAGAAGAGAGTGAACAGGTTTCTTAAGGGTTGGCAAGACACATGTAATGCCCCAAATGTTGAAAGCGTTCAAAGGCCACGGTAACCACTTACCATAAGGTGGGACGTGTGCATTTTTTGCAACCCTCGTGGTATAAAAAAAACGATATAAGTTACCTGTTAATAAATGTGACTCCTTCGTATAGTTTGTCCTGGTCGGGAGCTTCGAATATGTCTGTCGTGGCCAGCTGGAGGAACTCCACGCCTTGTTCCCGCCATTTCTGAAATTATAAAAGCGACATGACATTCATAAATTGACAGAAAGGTCACCGTACTGATGTAGGGTAGTGATTATTAGGTTGACTTTATTCTTTATATTACTTTAGCTTAGAAAACCTATTTTGATTCCGATTAAACGCGGCTTATCCTAAAAATTATTGAAAATTACATAACATCACGTCTTTTATCCCCGAAGGGGTAGGCAGAGATGCACATTATGCCACTGTACAATGTAACACCCACTTTTCACTATTTATGTTATGAGTCCCATGTAATAGGGGTGAGCCTATAGCCATATACCGGGCACAAAACCAGACTCCGTGCTACTACTGAGATTTTTTTTTAAAACCCAGTAATACTTTGCCCGACCCGGGAATCGAACCCGAGACCCCTTGCCAGGCAATGAGGCAATTGAAAATGACATAACTATTTACAGTATTTCTAGAGACAAAGTCACACACAAAATCAGTACGTTGACGTCACAATATATCTTAAGTCGAACACACAAGGTCGAGAATAAGTAGTCGGTAATTTTTAAACATTTTCGTTAATGAATCGAATAAATTACCTTGCAGTACGATTTCCTTTTTAACTTTACATAAAATAAGTAGACACGTGGGTATTATTTAACATGCAATCGTTAAATTTTTGGGTGCTATCGATTTTTTACTTAGAGACAGGATGATGCAATTTGTTGTTGACATGGGTTAATAGGAATTTTGTCAGCTAGAAGTCTAGGAATCGATTCTTAAGCCCATGTACATCCCCTCAGTACCCGTTCGGAGATTAAAAGGCATGTCCTTGTTAAAATCTTCATTGATTTAACGATTCGATAACCTCAAACCCGTGATAAACTAATAAAATATTTTCGTATACCCTTTTTATTATAAAAATCCTTCGATTGGTTATAATATAAATGGACTGCCGAGGGTCTCGGCTCGGCCTATCTTAATTCTATTAGTAACATAACATTAAAAACGCCTTTTATTCCCGAAGGGGTAGGCAGAGGTGCACATTATCCCACTACAATGTAACACCCACTTTTCACTATTTATGTTATGAGTCCCATGTAATAGGGGGTGAGCCTATTGCCATATACCGGGCACATTTCCAGACTCCGTGCTACTACTGAGGTTTTTTACAAACCCAGTAATACTTTGCCCGACCCGGGAATCGAACCCGAGACCCCTTGCCCGGCATCGCACTTGCGACCACACAGCCAATGAGGCAGTCGGTTAGTTCAGTTCCATTTGTTTTAGATATAATTATGTAATATATGTATAGAAATAAGCTAAACTAACCCTCTATTCCTACAAGACTCGTGACTTATTTATTATAATTGAAAACTAAAGTTCAAACAATGTGTCATCAAATAAAATAAATACAATGTCGATTTGTGGTTACTCACATAAAAATTCCTGGTAATACCTAACTACTGAGTTTAAATATATATCTGTCTGTTAATAATTCAGTAATCAACTACTTAGTCATATGTCTAATATAAAAATACTCAAGCGTCACTCAATTTTAAGTCGTGTTCTGTCCCTACAAATTCTTTGTATAATGTCAGTGATAGCGCGGTATTTGAGTACAACTTCATATTGAGTAGTCTTTTAGTATTCGGGCGTAAGAGGACTAAAATAAATGTCTTATTAATATGTATTGGGATATTATTTAAACCATGACTAATACCTTAATGCTCTATGAACCTTCTTTATGCCAATAGCTAACGTTTCCTGCCAGTTCTTAACATATATTTTAATTCTAAAGAATAAACTTATCATGTTTTCAATCTAAAGTCATAATAAAATTAGCATTACAAAAAATAGTTCTCCTCAATAGAACTATCTATAGACTTGTACAGATGAACTAGTGCTGTGTAGATAAGGTGCATAAAGGCAACCAATGTTCAATAGTTGTTTGTGAGAGATAAGAGATCTGTTATATAAATATAGCTGTGTATAGATATAGAATGTGTGTACGCATTTCTAGTTATGACAGAAATTACATGAAGAGACATATCACTACATAGTATAAAATAAAGTTGCTATCTGCCGTCTGTCTGTACCTATGTATGCTTAGATCTTTAAAACTACGCAATGGATTTTGATGTGGTTTTTTTTAATAGAGTGATTCTGAAGGAAGGGAGAGTATGTATAATCCATGCATATTGCACCCGTGCGCAGCCGGGGCGGATCGCTAGTATAAGAATGTTATGTCTTTTAATTCACAAAGGGGTAGACAGAGGTGTACCAAGTCAATTTTAAGCCCACTTTCCAGTTATGTTGTGAGTTCTATGTAATAGGGGCTGAGCTTATTGCCATACAAGGGTCACTATGGGGGCTACCGTGCAGATGGCGCTACCATTGGCCTTTGTTCACTAGATGGTACTAAGAAGAAGTATCTTAGTCCAATTACACTGTCGAATATTGAACGTCCAATGGCGGTAACACTAGCTAATTTCTTATTGGAAAAAGAACGAGAAGCTTCACTAGCGCCATCTGGTGAGCAAGAATACGGTGGGCCCCGTTCCACTCCCATGTTATTAATGAGAATTTTCGAAAAACCGATTAATGGCACTGCTTGATTTGGCAGTAACATCTTAAGGCGGGTCTACGATAGACGAACCGAGCACGACCGAAAAATAAGCGAAGCCGTTCTCGGCTTCGTCCTTCGCGGCTATGTAGTTTTTCGCAGTGAGCACTGGGAGCACGGAGTAAATACCAAAAAACCGACAACAGGCGAAACGCAGCAGAGTACGAACGAAATGCTCGCAGTGCGCTTGTTCGAAGCGAAGCTTGTAAGTCGGTCCACACTAGACGAATATTGTGTTTGGCTCGAGCACCGCTCGTGCTCGGCTCTCCTAGCGTAGACGCAACTTTGGATATCATGCTCTGTAGTTGCACTTATTACTTAGCTACTTGACTAATGAGGCAGAAGGAATTAACAATAGTAAACCTAATTTTAAAGAGTGTTTTATATCTAAACTAGCGACCCGCCCCGGCTTCGCACGGGTGCAATATGTATATACATACAAACCTTCCTTAAGAATCACTCTATCTAATAAAAAAAACCGCATCAAAATCCGTTGCGTAGTTTTAAAGATCTAAGCATACATACGGACATACAGCGAAAGCGACTTTGTTTTATACTATGTATTGATTGATATGTTGTAATGTTTTTTTAAATTGGTTAAGATGTAATAAATTCTCACCTCAGCATCATTAGAGAATATCTTCAGTTCATATGTTTCATTCATTGAAACTACTCCTTTCATATTTTCTTCTTCCTTCAACTGAAACATAAAATATTACATGTTAAAATTACTGTTTAAAAGGTGTACTATAATGATACTATTTCAAATGATTGTTTACTGACTTCTGCAAATGGATTCATAAATTTCCCGCGTTTCTTACGTATAAGAAGTAGAGTATGTAATAATCTAGATCATAATCTACAACTGTTTCAAATTTCATCCCAATCCCTTCAGCCGTTTTGATGTAAAAGAGTAAATAACAAACAAACACACACGCAGACACACAAACAAACTTTCGTATCTATAATATTAGTAGGATGTTGCTATGTGGTGACAGTAACATAGGTAATATGTTCAGGATGCCCATAATCCAGCAGTGCTCTGTTGGTGATTGCACTTAATACTCAATTCTTTATTACTTGCTACATGTGTGATTTAGGTGGAAAACATAATTAGGACTCAATGTGGACCCTGTCAGGCACAACAATATAAGTTTTAGAGGGAGCACATTTAGACATGACATTAAAAAACATATATAAAAAATAAGTAGGTATAACAATTCAATAACAAATGCTATATGTTGTTAGGGGTTTTTTTGGGGGGAAAATCATCAAACCGAAAGAATCATCGATGACTGCTCTCGCCTGGGTGAGGCGGGAGGGAGTGTTCCTCAGACTCTTACTGACTAAAAACCACCCCATTCCTTATCCTGCGCTTTGAGCCGGACTTTGACCATTACAATTGTAACTCCATGGAAGTCTATTGTTATATAGTTTTGTTACATAATATTGCAATGCAAAATTTAGATAAAATGTAAATATGTTTCAACTTTAAAAACAGTATAATATATTCTACAACTTATTTGTTAAATATGCAAAGATCTGTTCATGGTTAATTCATTCAAATTTCTCACAGTATCAAACAATGCATTTATTGCAGTTATAATTCATTTAGTTACACTGTTACTTAAACTAATTGCTTTGGAATTTAACCTTTGTGAAATTAAATGAATCACCATCATATTATTATTTATTTATTTTCAGCCATGATCCTCCCACTGCAGGGCAAAGGCCTATTAACATAAGTAAATTTTATCTAATCAATGACAATATTGCCATTTTTTATTGTCATTCAAAATAGCAATAGCATTTACTAGTTTTTTGTTTGTAAGGCAACAATAGGAATAGGAAATATGGACTAACTATTAATAAACTTAACATTTATGAATAAAATATTTAACTAATTTAGTTTGTTTTTTAATTAGTTCTTATTTATTGTATAGTCACTTACTTTATCATTCCAATAAATCAGATTTTTTGTAAACAGCCACAACAGTATAAAACCAATTAAAGTATTAGTTTGTGTGAGTAATGTGCATTAATTCATAAATTAAACACTATATTAAGAATACAATTTTGTGAATGAATACAATCCCAACCTTAACAAAAGGTTACAAATTATAAAAGACAATTTGAACAGAATTCATTTTAAGTCACAGTTCTATTGAAGCAAATATTTAACTTAAATATTAGAAGGCATTACCATTCAAATAGTGTAAGAATACCACATAACTTGAATGACAAATATGTGTAAGTACACAGTGGTCATACTATTTACTATTCCAACTGGCACAAGGCCATAGGAAATGACCCATTGACCATAGGCTCACTAGCGACTTACTATGAAATTCCATGACTTTAAAAAAGTTATATTAAAAAAAAATAGGTGACAGATATAATAACCTCAAAAAAGTTTGTAACACTTACTTGTTTCGCCATACTTTGGAAAGGAAGGGCTCCTAGGATGACTGTATCATCCATCCTGTCATACCAGCGCCTGCTGGTCACCTTTTCCATGACCACATTGTATAATAATGTTGGATAGAAAGTCACTCTCGCGAACATTGATGTGGCCTGGTAAATAAACAGTTATAGTTAGCTTGTGCGTCAGATGTCGGCCGGCGAACAGTATATGCCGCTGCGAAGCAGTGATTCAGGAACACCGGTACCATGGTGAAAGCTGCACTCCGTGGTGGGGATTGAATATTAATTTTTTGTTTGGGTCCTCTTCCACTTGTGCAACTGACAGGAATGTTGTGACAGCAATCTGTCAAGTAAGTGTGACATTGACACTGTCAGGGTGACAGATTGTGAGAGTTGCCAGTAAAATATTGATTTAAAAAGAAAACCTTTATTTTTTTTTAAATTATTTATTTGTAATAATCAATCGATTTTCATAAATACAGGATAAATACATCAATAATTTTTCTTTTACATGCTAGCCTACCTTATTATTTGTAGCGCCTGTTGGGAAACATATAACGATAAAATGGTAAAGCTGCAAATTGTTGCTCTCATATTTCATACAGGCGCTATAAAGTACTTCGTATTTATTTGAAAGATAGGATTTGTAACGAAAACTCGCTAAGTTTTAGTAAATTAAACCAATAACGGTTAATTTCATTAGAATAATATAAACAATAAGAAGGTAAAAAGTAATAATTAGGTTTTTTGTTAGGATTTTGAAAGTCAAATGTTCCAGACCTAATAATGCCTTAATTCATATTTTATAATATTTTTCAGAACCTGTATTTACTTATTTTCTGAAATATTTAGGTAGGTAAGTATTTATAATAACCTTTCTTTAAAATGAACATCATGTAATTTACGGAGGCGAGTTTAAGGCAACATATCGCCCATCGTGACAACATAATTAATAGCTTTAACCCTCTCCGTAACACGATAATCTATTGTGACTAATCTTAATTATGTGTTACAATTAATTTCACATACGAATGACGTCTTTCGGCCCCAATTACTTTTTTTTATTATCAACTTAGTCATAATTTTGAGCCAAGGAAAATTTATAAATTGTTACATCGCAGCCGAGTTTAAATGTCTAGCCACTGTCCAAGCGGGTAATTTTTAACATGTTTTACCTCCTCATATTTCACAATGTGGGGTAATCTTTTTACATACTTATAAAATATATTAATTTGCTGGCCACGCCGGGTTGATTTCAAAAGCTGAAAGAGATATCATCGACGTGATCTATAGCCGCCATTTGTAAGCGCAGCGGGGTGCCAACCGAGCAACGACATTCCAAATTCAAATTAAATTAAAACGCGGTAAAAACAACGTATTTCCGTTCGGTGCGTCCGCTATTCAAATTCGGAATAGATTTGATCTGCGCTAATTTGTCTATGACTATGTTACTATGGCACTGGTATCAGAGGTAATGTTTCACGATACTAAGAAAAAGTACTTTGACCTCATTTTCAAAATTATCGCCCTGTGAGGCTAGAGAGAATGATATTGACGTCGTCGCTACTGTACCTACACAGATCTAGCCACCTTTGGAGAAAAATATACGACGCATGATATTGTTACCAAGTTTCTTGGAATCCAAATTGATAATTACCCAATTAATTGAGGGGTATGTTTCTTTAAAACAAAGGAGCTCATTTCTATGCGTTTCTTTGACCGTAATAGTTTTGTTATGCAGATTGTGCCGTCCAGTCATTAATAAAATGCAATGTTCTGTCGCGATAAAATACTGTTAAATATTGTTTTCAATTACGCGTCTTTAATACTCACTCGATATCTTTGCCGTTTGCGTTTTCAAGTGGCCGTTAAGTAATTACTTACAGTCGAGTCGCCGGTCGGTCTATGAGTAGGTAGATAATGCAATGAAATGGACATCTGCATGTCTATACATGGGTACGTGGTCAGTACAGTGAATGCTCGCGTTCGAAATGAAATAAATGATTTACCTAAATATATTTTAAACTATCATCAAGTGCCTCGGACCCGACCGGCCCGAGCGCAGTCCACAGCCCGCTACGGAGCGCATTAAGCTCCGATACCCCGCCTCATCTGTCATCATTAATGCCACGGTATCCTAATAAGTTTGCTACAATAAATAAAATAAGAAATATCAAAGAGTTGCGCTCCGTTTAATGGTTGTAATTGTGGCCAAATGAAATATGGCCGAAGACGATACGGACTCTCTGTCGTGGGTGTCTACCCGCTTTAATATCGACATTTACACGCTATAAATATTTTAAATGATTATCTTAATGCATTTGTAGTCGTCATTTACATAAGCGCCGTGGAATGAGGTTGAGACGAGCCTGGTGCAGTTAAAACATTCACACCCCGTTCGCAAAATAGCCGGCAAAGTAAACGCGCTTTCATCACGTACGTCTCATAAATAGTGGCGCGGTGCAGCTCGCGTCGGGGCCGAACTAAATCTGACCGTATTATGCGCGTCCTGTCGAACATCAGACGCTTATTTGTGTCCGAAAAGCGCTCGAAAGACTTAAAGCCTTCCCGGTTGATGTATGGCGGCGACACGTGAATGCCGACCTTTATATTCAAATCGGCGGTATTCAAATGTGCTCGTTGTCTATGCGACGGTTGACAATTCGCGGGCACATTCGAAAAAGGAACGCGGGAAACGTCATATCACCGGCGGGATTCGAAACTCGAATTTTGCTTTTTGGCGCGTCGATACGCATCTGGCTTCTGGGCTGCGTTCAGGCGTCATGTTCGGTTCTTTGCTTTTATTTGAGCTCGATTGTGTCGGACGGAGATATAGTTTGAGATCTGTAGATATTTTGACGTGGCCCTCTGATAAAGTTAGTGTTTCGCGGCGGCCAGTGAGTTAACGAGCGTCTGAGTAATGAGCGATGCTATTGTGATTTGAACAATGGCTGGCGATCGCTATTGTTTATATAATTGAAAATGATATTCGATAACGACGGCTTGTGTAGCTACGTTTGTGTTTAGATGCGGCACCTGCGTACGATAAATTGTCAGATAAACGTATCTCTACTTTCATTTGTGGTATTTGACGATAATATCTGCAGTATTACTTTAACGGGGAATGTTTTTACGGTGCATGGCTATGGAGGTTATAATTAGGTACGAAGGAGGTTTATTTACAAATTTCTTGTTCCGAAAGTTGATGCAAATGTTTGTGGTAGACGTGGTCGGATGTCCGCACATCTGCATACAATGCGGTGGTGCATCGCTCCAGTTCAGCGGTAATTTACTGCTGATCCCTCTGCTTAGATGTCGCCCGAAGATAGCTGCTACCTAATTTAAATCTAAAATAAAACGGGGATAAAAGTAGCGGACTGTGCCGCCAACTTGTGGTAAAGAAATGGTTGAAGATACGAGACTTTTTCATAAGAAATTCTTATTGGTATTTACAGTAACCATGCTGAAGATGAAAAGTAGTATCTCTTAAAGATTACATTGATGTAATGTTTCTTTAACAAATCTTAGTCGACCCATGCTAACTGTTGAAATAAAGCATTTTCTTGTCAAGTCGTGTTTTAAATTGGAGCTTACGAAAATCCTGAATGTAACATCTTTCTTAGAAGGGATATTATGGACACAAAAGCTTGATAGATTTAGGAAGACTGTCAGTAAAAGTTTAATGTACCTAGACGTCAATTTACACATTAACTAAAATTGTCGTAGTTTTAAATATCGACGAAGCAACTGCTCAAGCACAAATTCAAATATAAAAAATAAAACATAATCCATAGACAACCAACATTTTTTCCCTTTAACGAAGGCATTTAATTAAAGTGCCAATAGTGTCAATACATGACATTGAGATAAAGTAGTACTTATTGGTTCGATAACATGAAAATTATGTGTGTTTTATTATAAAACAGTGTAAAAAATAACGCGGGGCGTGTCGTATAAATTTTAAATAAACAAAGAACGTTTTTATCAGCAGCTGTTCTTTACCAATTAACCGTTGTTGGAACGCCTACCGTTGACAAATTGATGCGTATTTCTGAACGGGACCGCGCCCTTTAAATTTTTAAAAATGGCCGACCTCATTTTGTTTATGTCATAAATTTTTGGAAATATCTGATCATTGAAGATTTGGTTTCACACTGGTACGTGTCTATCGTACCTACTTAATTTAATTTAAAAACTAAATGTGAAGCTGTTTTGCAACAAAAATGGAAATGACCGCTTATCAAGACTGCTTGCTGCTGTCAAATCGTGCTTTTTGATTTCACTGATCAATTTTTCTTCTATCAAGCTGTTATATTTTAATGAATTTCTTTAAATAATTATTTACATTACATATATAGATATACAGTTTTATAAAGATAATTTTAGTCCTACCGCATAATTGACAGAACCCTAAAAATGGAGTCCTATTACTATTGGAACATCTTCATAAGGATAATAACAGGAATCTATAATACTGGTAGACTACCGTCTTTCAGTGTCCACGATTATGACAGATGACTCCTGCGCATACCGACCGTTAATTTACATTGTACGTAATTTAAGTGCGCGCGCAGCTTGCAAATGGTCACCTGCGATCTTGTATCGTCATTACTCTTTTTAATTGGTCACTTGTCTTATGAAATAATTTCGTAACAGGCTATTAACGTCTCATTATTGCTATTTTATTTTATTTTCTACAATCTAGGTATGTGGCTGCGAGTACTTTGTGAATTTTTTTCGCGAGGGAGACGGATGGGTTTCAGTTATATGGGAAATGCTGGCTTCAGTTTAAATATAACGGTTGACAACTAAGTACCTATGTCGTATCTGACAGATAAATTATTTATCTACAAAAATACTATTGTGAGTCATTAATGGTGACTAACGTCAAACTTTGTTTGATTTGTTAGTTGACTTTTCATAGGTACTTACGTAACTAAGTCATTTGTCACAAAACTCATTCATTTCTGATGTCTTCTTTTACTAATATTTTTTTTGTTCTTTTTTAAAAAACGTTGTTCGACAATAGATTGTCTCCGATGTCGTGGGTGCGTTTACAAACATACAAGTTCACATACACATGACACCCAGACCCGGAACAACAATCGGAATCGAACCCGCGACAGGTTGAGCGGCAGTCAGTTGCCCAACTACCGCGCAAATCGCGCAATCGAAATTATATATGTAGCTAGTAGCTTTACCCATCAGACCACCACAGATGGGGCCCAACAGGGCCGATGCCGATTCGGAGTCGCGGAGAACCTAACGGGTTACCGGGGCTCCGGTTCGAAGCGCAGGAGAAGGATCGGGGTGGTTTTTAGTCAGTA